AGAGGTGATTAAGTGAACAAAAACTTATAGATTTAGAGATCTGAGCTAAAAACATTAATAGATTTAAAATGTCTTTGTAAGCTTCATAAATGTTCAGATGAGTTAAAAGCTCAACAGATCTTGAGATCTGAGCTTCATGATGAAAACAGATCTATAAATTTGAACTTGAGAACGAAAATAGATGTAGATATTTGAACTGAAAATGGAGTAGATCTTGAGATCTAAACGATGGAAAAATAGATCTGAAAAGATTTTGGCAAGAACCAAGAGGATCTGATCAAATGAGGGATAAGAATGAATAGATTTGAGCAACCTGATGTGGAACTCAACAGATATGAAGAGATCTAGGAAAGAACGAGCTTGAAACCAAGCGAGATGGTGGTTGTTCATTCAAGTCCGGGATGGTGCCAAATGATGCGACATCGGCTCCGACCACCTGCTCTGAGGATGTGATTTTACGCTGAAGACGGATCTGTGAGGTCACAACAGCCAAGGCCATTAGAGCCGCCCTAGGGAATTTTCCCCGGGAGCAGAGTCTGACGGTCAAGTTAGATCATCTGGTAGATCTGAGATGGTTCTCTTTAGCTAGAGAGAACCATATTGGTGCTAATGGTGGTGTATCGCGGTTGACGGCGGCGGGTGGCGGCTGAGCCACCCAGCCGGAGTATAGGATGGAGGTTAAGCCAAAGGGAAGATCTCCTTCTCCATGGAGGAGATATTGTTCACTTTATAGGGGATAATTAGGTCAGGCCTTGGGCCAGCCCAATTCAAGCCCAGCTAGCAAGGAGCTAGGCGAGGCCGTCCGGAGGCGCTAGGGAGGCTGGCAGGCGCGTACCAGGAAAGGCTGGCAAGGGAGCTCCAGGCTAGGGAGCGTCAGGTCGGGCCAGTAGGAGAGTCCCCAGCAAGGCTGGCAAGGGAGTCCCCAGCAAGGCTGGCAAGGGAGAGCCACGTCGGGCCGGCGGGAGAGCCCCAACAAGGCTGGTAAGGGAGAGCCAGGGCTGGTGGGAGTGCACCAGGGAAGGCTGGCATGCTAGAGCGGTCTAGGCCACACTAATGGAACATATATCAACAAGTCCTCCCCCCAGTCCGATGTTATTGGTTCGCGGCCAATGACATTAGACTCGGTCTTATAAACCATGTGTCATCAGGCTGGCAAGGGAGCACCAAGGCGGGCCAGCAGGAGAGTCCCTGACAGGGCTAACGAGGGAGCATGAGGTCAGGGCAGTAGGAGAGTCCCCAATACGACTGGCAAGGGAGCGTCAAGCGAGGCAAGCATGCCAGGTCTATCTAGGCCATGCTAATGGACCATATATCAAAAATCAAGTTGTACTATCTCGAGGAAGAAGGATCAGTTGAAGCAAATAACATAGAAGGAAGAAAATCTTTGCCTTGGTTATGACATCGAAGATTAGGACATTTGTCTTTTGGATATTTAAAAAAACTAAAACCTCAAGTTTTTTTAGGTAATAACCTTTTGATTCTAGTTGTGATGTGTGTGAGATGGCAAAAAGTCTCCAGGTTTCATACTACCCAATTGAAAATAAAACCACAATTCCACTCATGAAAATCCACTCTGACATATGGGGGCCAGCAAAAATAGCAACTCCATGTGGTTATCTCTTTTTTGTTACTTTTATTGGTAAATCTTCACGAATGATTTGGATCTCCCTACTTAAACATAAAATTTGACGTGACACATGCTTTTAAAGAACTTTAATTACACATTAAAACTCAATACACAGGTGAGGTTAAAGTCCTCCAATCAGATAATGAAGGAGAATATGTCAATCATGACATGGAGGTGTTTTGCAGGGAGAACTTGATTAGCCACCAGACTTTGTGTGCGAACATACCACAACAAAATGGGCTCGCGAAAAGAAGAAACAAACAAATTCTAGAAATTGTACGAGCCTCTTTATTTGATATGAAGATGCCACACAAATATTGGGTAGAAGCGGTACGGAATGTCGCGTATTTGTTGAATCAGACACTATCACGAGTTATTGAATTTAAAACTCCATTACAACTCGTACACAAAAAACTTGGACTTCCAATCGGGTCCAACCTTGAGCCACGAGTATTTGTGTGCGTCGCATATGTACATCATAATGTGGGAAAGCTAGAGCCAAGGGCGATAAGATGTGTTTTTATGGGGTATCTGACTTCAAGAAAGGGTATAGGTTTTATAACCCGAAATAAAATAAAATGTACGTCACTCGAGACGTTAGTTTTCACGAAAACATCTCTTATTTTTCACATGAATATTTCCCTCAAGGGGAGAAGAGGTATGAGGTTAACTTGCATGATAAAAATACTGGGCTTGGTGAGATAGTAGATGGACTCGACGGTAATGAAGATGGCCTATAAATACCTTGTGGGCTTGAGAATCATAACTCAGGGGGAGACCATGAAAGCCCAGAGGTGCAGTCCGAAATCCTGAAATCCTACAGGTGCAGCCCGAGCCAGATAGTACAACGAGTCCAAGCCAAACTAATACCCAACCGGATCTGACGTTGTCACAAGGTTCGCAAAATAACGATTTTACTAATGGTTCTCCTGAGGTCGTTGATGAACAGGTACCATCGGTGGCAAGATACCATGTAAGACAAAATAGAGGGGTTCCAAGGAAACAGTACCAGCCAGACCTAAAGTCAAAATCAAAGTATCCGATAAATTACGTTTCCACTGAAAGATTGGCGGAGTCACAACAGCGTATAGTGGAAGAATTAGCTTCTGTAGTTATTCTTAAAACTATTCAAGAAGCTATGGAAGATCCAAAGTGGAGGAAAGCCATATTCAAAGAATTAGATGTGTTGAAACAAAATCAGACATGGGACGAAGTCGTACTCCCTTCCGGAAAGAAAACTGTGGGATGTAGATGGGTCTTCACAATTAAGCTGGATTCAAATGGAAAGATCGATAGATACAAGGTGATACTAGTCGCGAAAGGCTACACACAAAAATACGACATAGACTACGGAGATACTTTTGCACCAGTGGCAAAGATAAATACTATTCGAGTTTTTGTTTCTAGAACCTCCTCCCGGAATGGATTATGGTGACAAGATGTGTAAGTTAAAAAAGGCGTTGTATGGACTAAAGTAATCTCTGAGGGCGTGGTTTGGAAGGTTTTCAAAGTTCAGGAGGAGGATTGGATACAAGCAATCAGATGCATATCATACGTTATTTGTGAAGAACATTGGAGAAAAAGTTACTGACCTTATAGTGTATGTAGATGACATGGTGGTGACTGCCAATGATTCCGACGAAATAAAAAGGTTACAGGCCACACTAGGTAACAAATTTGAGTTAAAAGATCTTATAAATCTAAGGTACTTCTTGGGTATTGAAGTAGCAAGGTCTAAACATGGAATCATAATAAATCAACGGAAATATGTATTAGATCTTCTCGCCAAAGCCGGTATGTTGGATTGTCAGCCAATAGATACACCTATTGAGGTTAATCACTGTTTGACTATTATGTCGGGTCAAGTACCAACTAACAAGGAGAGGTATCAAAAGCTGCATGGAAAACTGATCTATTTATCACACTCGCCTGGATATTACATATGCAGTTAGTGTAATGAGCAAATTTATGCATGCACCTAATGAAAATCATATGAAAGCCGTGTATAGAATTCTTCGATATTTAAATTCGTCATCGGGAAAGGGTCCATTTTTTGCAAAAAATGAAAACCTTGAAGGAGAAGGGTATACCGATGCAGATTGGGCCGGGGATAAGTCCGATGGTAAGTTAACATCGGGATATTTTACGTTTGTGGGAGGAAATTTGGTGACTTGGAGAAGTAAAAAACAAAAATTGGTGTCACGTTCAAGTGCGGAGGCAAAGTTTAGAGGCATGGTTCATGGAGTGTGTGAATTATTATGGGTAAAACGGGTGTTGCGAGATCTTAGCTTTAGTGTGAATAAAACTATGAATTTGTATTGTGACAATCAAGTGGCGGTAAAGATTGCAAACAACCTGGTTCAACATGATAGGACAAAACATATCGAAGTAGATCGTCATTTCATCAAAGACCACCTCGAGAAGAAAACTATTAAGTTACCATTTGTGAATTCCAAGGAACAACTAGCCAACATGCTAACAAAGGCTGTACATGCAAGAGTATTCAATGGCTCTCTAGACAAGCTGGGAATGATGGACATTCATTCACCATCTTGAGGGGGAGTGTGGACGAGAGCACTCTAAAACTAGATAAGCTTGTGGTAGTAATTATCATATATTGTATTTCCTATAGTATAGGAGGTTGTTATTGTTTCCTTTCCTTGCATGTTGTATCCCTATTACCCTATATATTACGGGTGTAAACGAGCCGAGCCGAGCCCGAGCCTGACAAAGCTCGAGCTTGGCTCGTTTAATTTGAGGAAGCTCGAGCTCGATTCGAGCCTTAAAATGAAGCTCGAGCTCGGCTCATGAACAATTTATTGGGCTCGCGAGCCTAAACGAGCCTAAACGAGCCTCTATGTGTGTGTGTGTGTGTGTGTATATATATATATATATATATATATATATATATATATATATATATGTGTGTGTGTGTGTGTGTGTGTGTATATATATATAGAGGCTCGTTTAAGCTCGTTTAGGCTCGCGAGCCCATTAATTGAAGCTCGGCTCGAGCTCATTTAATTAACGAGCCTCATCTTTAGGCTCGAGCTCGGCTCGGGCTCGTTTAATTCGATCTCGAGTCGAGCTTTTAACGAGTCGATCCCGAGTAGCTCACGAGTAGCTCGACTCACTTACACCGCTACTATATATGTATACCTTCTGTAACCTTAATGAAAGAAACACGAATCCTTTTGCTTACAAACACCATTTAAGAATGTTGTTTGGATTAACATAAAACCAACTTCTATTTGTGTCTAAACCAGAAAGTACTACTTGTGGATTATTCTAATTAAATTGAATTTTATGCAACCGTTGATATATAATTTGGTTCAATGCGGGCTTAAAAATATGCAGAAAATTGAAATCAAGATCTCTTAGAGAAATAAAATGATTTTGATTAGGATAACTCATTGTATACAATCTGATGAAATCTTTAAGAAGTTACCACAAACTTCGAAATTGACACTAATATAATATAAGTTCATTTGATTACATGATGAAGTTTTACAAGGCCTTTACATATGAGAATTTTGGAGCTCAAAAGCAAGCATGCATGTTGCATATTAATTTGGGAAAATTCCTTTAGGAATAATGACATCTCCAATGTTGTTGTGCCATGGGTCAGCCAAATGAGTTGCCAAGTTCTCCAAGGGTCCGGTTCCAGGGTAAGCCGATTGTTGCACACAAAATCCCACAAATGCCAACAAAGCCAAACGTCCTACATTTTCATTTTAATACATACATAAGTCAAAAGGTCAAAAGGGTATATAAGTATATGTATATATATAAAGTCTTGTAATAAGTATATATGTTTTATTTACCATTTTTGATCTCTTTGACCTTGTACTCTGCGAAGGTTTTAGGGTCTTTTGAGTAGCCTAATGGGTCAAAAGCACCACCGGGGTACTTCTTCTTTTCCGTGTCTTTTTCCATACTCCTTTGGTGTTCTACGAATGCAATGGAGATGAATTCGATAGCCAAGATTGTGGGTAGGGTACCCCATGGCACCGGGTTCCCTAGGTATGTTGCTTGCCCGCCGGGCAGGGCTGCCCATTCTTGTGCTTTTACCCAATTGCCCAATCCTAATGCTTCGGGTAACAAAATCCCAGGCTGCAAATTTGTAACATGTTATAAATAATAAGTGTAACTTGTATATGTATATATATGATATGATATATCCAACATATAACACTAATCATTTCTATTTTTTTTCGTTAATGAATGACTTACTACTGCAAGCATAGCCCATCTGCAGTGAATGAGCTCCGACTCTTTGAACCTTTCAAGGTTCTCTGGGACCTCACCAAGACCAAGTGGGTCAAACCCAAAATCACTGAAACGCACACAAGATCAGTAAATCGGCTTCAAAAATCGTTTCTTGTGAGACTAATTAATCGTCAGACGGAAGAAAACGTACCCAGGTGCAGATCCGTCAAGGTACGGTGGTCGTGGTTGTCCGGGCATCCACTCGGCGGACATGGAAATCCGAGATGCGTTGGTGGTAACTCCGGAAAGTGGCACAGCAGTCGCGAATCTTGATTTGGAAGAGGAGAGAAGCGAGGGGCGGCCAACGGCGGGGATGCCGCAGCTCATTAATGTATGGGAAGCCATTCCCAGAAGAATGTATGAATCTGGAAATGGAAATGGAGGATTTTAGTGGTGGTGGTGGTGGTTGTGGTTGTGGATGAATGATGGTGGTGGTGACTGGTGACTAAATATGGAGGAGATTTTTAGGGGCGATATCCATATGCTGATTATTATTGGCTAGGTGTTGGGGGATACTGGCTTGTTATTGGACCAGGTGGAAGGTTAATCCATTTGATACGATGACGTGGCAGGAGAGGGTAGTTTTGTAATTTACTTTGTGCTATTTGATTTTTTTGTGATCAATTGGTGGTTGACGTTTATTTGCCATGGAAAAGGAGGAATCGGAAATTGTGGCCATGAACGAATCCGGGGTTTCGCCATCTGTTCATTATTTTTTTTAACACCAAAATCAAAGGGATAATGACTTAAAAACGTAATATATATTTTGATTTGTATATATTTGATATTAAGTTTATTTTTTGTTTATATTTATCTATTTAAATTGTTAAACTGTACACATTCAATCCTTATTACCGGTTATTTCAGGTTAATCGGTAAAAATGTCTTAATAAGGTAATATATTTCTCATTTTGTACATATTTAGTTCTTAATATTTTTGTACACATTTAGTCCTTAATTTTTTTTTGTTGCAAAATAATTCATTTTGTTTTTGTACTGATTCAATACTTATGAATATTTTTTTTTAAGTTTTTCTCACAATATCTTATATGAAACAATCATTAACGGAGTGTTTTAAGCTTTTGATGCTTATGTCAATCGCAATCTCGACTACTTGGTTGCTTAAGTCATTTGTTTTGAACGTCATAACTTTTTCATACTATCTCGGATTTTAACGATCTTTATATCTATGCGTTTGTATTTTACTCTACTACAACTTTCGTTTAGATTACTCATGTTAAAAAGTAATATATTTTTTTTAATTACGATCGTTATATCCATACGTTTTTATGAATGTATGTATGGTTGTTTTTTATAAAATCGTAAGTAAAAACATATTATATTTTAACGGGAATAATCTTAACGAAAGTTATAGCAGACTTAAAAAACGAACATGTAGATATAAAGATCGTTAAAATCAGATATCGTATGAAGAAGTAACGACGTTCGGAACACAAAACCTAAGCCGAACCACATGACATATGCAACCAAGCAGTCGAGGCTGCGATGGACATAAGCATCAACAACCCCAAAAATCTCATCAATCAGGGACGGACGCAAGATTTGGTAGTAGGTGATGCCGGTACGTAGTAGGTGTTGACGGTAAGTAGAAAAAAGAAAAAAAATCGAAAAATTTACACTGCGTATAGAAAAAGCAGGGGTTGTTGGTGCCACTGTGGGCATCTAAAGAGAACCGTCATTGTCATCAATGATAGTCCCATATTAGATGTCGTGAGAAAAATCCTAAAGAAATCATTCATAAGTACTGAATTAGTACAAAAACAAAAAATAACTTAGTGAAAAAAAATATATTAAGGACTAAATGTGTACAAAAATATTAAGAACTAAATGTGTACAAAATGAGAAATATATTACTCTAATAAGTCATTTTTCCCGGCTAACCTGGAGTAACCGGTCATAAGAAATAGATGTGTATAGTTTAACAAGTTGAATAGTTAAATGTGGATGAAAAAAAAACTCAATGACCAAAAGTGTACAAATCGAAAAATTTATTACCCTTTTAAGTCATTATCCCCAAAACAAACTTAGTAAAGTAAGTGTGTGTTTGGGATTTGTTTTTTTAAGTTAAAAATCCTTTTGTAAAAAAAAAATTAAATAATTTTTTTATAAAGAGGTATTTAAATTGTGTTTGATTGGGTTTTTAAAACTTTTAATCAAAAAAAGATCATATTTTATGATTTTAAAAAAATGCTTAGTAATTGTTATGACTAAAAGTTGATTTAAAGAATTTTTCTATTTTACCAAATATCTGTTAAACTTTTTTAACTTTTTGGAAAAGTTAAAAATCCAAAAGTTATTTTTAAAGGAAAGACAAACATTTTTAATAAAAAGCTAAAAGATAAAAAATTACAAGAATAAAATAAAAATAAAAAATATGAGATTTTATGACTTTTAATAATGCTCTTTTTTTGTTATCACTAAAAGTGGATTTAAAATGATTTTTTATTTTACGAAACATTTTTTAGATTTTTTTTAATTTTTTGGAAAAGTTAAAAGTTCAAAAGTTGTTTTAAAAGGAAAAACAAACCTTTTTAATAAAAAGCTAAAAAAAAAAATTACAAGAATAAAATTTTGAAACGACAACAGAAACTAAACACCTAAAACCTGAATAACAAAGCCAAAAGTTAAAACAAAAATGACCACCAATGCAAGAATTGAAACTTAAATCAAAGATAATGATGGAAAAATCTTCAAACCAATCCAACAAAATGGGTAAGAAAAAATAAATGAGTGACACTCCAAACTACCAAAAATATTGCGACTCTCATGCAAAGAAAAATCAAACTAGAACAGTTAAAATCACCGATGAAACAAACTCAAACCGTCAAACATAAAGATTTTTAGAACAAAAATATGTTAACTTAATTACCAGTTGAATGTGTTAAATGTGATCGGAGCTAACTAACCAGCCGCTAGCCTATTTGATCTTACAAATATTGTGCAACTAGTTGTAAGACTCATGTATTACATGAGTAAATTTAAAATATATATATATATATATATATATATATATATATATATATATATATATATATATATATATATATAAATGTCAAAATATTTGAGAACTTTGAATTTATAAGAAAAAAAAATAATGATTTATTATTATAGAAATGTTTTTATTTTTTAAATTTAAACAAATAATTTAAATAAAGAAAAGAAAGCAATGAACTTTACTTGTGGAAAATTTGAAATTAAAAGATAAGTTTACTAATAAAATTAATATCCATGTATTACTATGTTTATTATAATTATTAAATTAAAATATTATATGAAATTTAATAAAATAGAAAAACTCATAAAATAACATGTGGAAAAAAATTCAAAATGACATTTGACAAATTGAATGAGAATGTGACATGTGGTATAAAAAAAAAAAATTAAAAAAAAAAAAAAAAAACTTCATTTATTAGAGAGGATAAATGTAAATAGTTTATTTGATTTTATGAATGTTATGAAATAATGTTTGTTAACTTATGGATTTTGTTTGTTAAAAATTAAATTGATTGTATTAAATTGTAAATGCATTTTATGAAGGGAAATTGAGTAATCTAACCACAATTTAAGATCTAGTTAACAAAAGTAACATTTTTTTTAAAACTAACCACTTGGTTCGGAATGGGCTATTTCATAGTAGAATAAACGGCTCAAGTCCAATATTATAGCCCAATGCTATATATGGGTCCCATACACAAAAATTTGGAATACGCATTCCGGATTTTAAAAATCCAAAGTTTGTTTTACCTGTATTTATGACCTAGTTTTCAATATGGATTTATCAAACCAAGTGAATTATACTCTTTAAGTTACTTGCATTTGAGTTTTCAAAGAAGTATACATATTCCATAATGTGTTGAACAATCTGTAATACGATGAATAAGTTCGAAATGTACATTTTTTGTATTTATATATTTTTGTTGTACATATACGATGTGCATGTAAGTATCTTAGAGTGTGTTTATGACCGCTTTTTAGTCCGGAAGAATGGTTCGGTAGGTTAGGAATACGAAGAACTTATTTTGAAATATGAAGAACTTAACCCGGAATGATGTTCCGGAATGACAAGCCGGAATGAAAATTGATTATTACTTTTTTTTTGGTATTTGACATTGTTGAATAACCCCTATTAGTCCAAAGACGAATTTGCGTGGATGTTGTTAAAAAAATGGGTTTTACGGACGAAGAAGTTGTATTTCATTTACAAGAGCTTTGAAAATTGCGTCCGATAAAGATAGAAGCAATTTTTTTTTGAAAAGGTTGGTTTATGATACTATATGAAAATGTGTTGGAAATTTGTTTTAGCAGATAACAATCCAGGATGTCGATTTAGAAATTAAAATAAAAAATAAATCAACACATGCACCTATAAAATTAAGAAAGAAATTGGAAAGGATGTTAAAGCTTAAATTGAAAGTAGATAGAACTCTGAAAGATGAGACCGAAGCAAGTTCATACAAACTTGTTATTATAGACTAATTGCAATGTCATTATAGTTTTTAAAGATAGGGTTCAGGAGGCTGATTTTATTATTGGATAAGTTTATGCAAGTTGTTTTTAATGTGTATGTTAATATATTTTATTTTCAGTCTCCAACATCCAGTGACTCGATTGATGATGATGAGTTGCCAATAGAATATGATATATGTAATGTCTAACCATTACAAATAGTGTAACATCCCGAAATCGCAAGAGTAGAGTTGAAGGGCTAAAAGTGTAAGTTTTAGAGGATGACTCGGCGAGTCCATGGATAGACTCGACGAGTCAGGTCGCGGTCATGGTCGCGTGTCAAGTGGCCTACTCGGCGAGTCCCAAGGATGGACTCGGCGAGTAGGTGCTGTATGGAGAAAACCCTAATTTTCGGGGTTGAGCCCTATATAAAGAGCATTATACCCCTCCACAGCCTCCCTTATCCCCCCTTGAGTTCCAGAAACCCTAAATTCGTGGAGAGATCATTTGTGGAGCAAATTAGAGCTTGGAGAGGTGTTGTTTGAAGAGATCTTGAAGGAGAAGTGGCTTGGATCAAAGGGCTTTGCTTGGATTCGAGTTTGGCTGCTATTGAGGCATCTTTTGGAGGTAATATCTTCGTCCTTAGGCTGTGCATTCCTAGTTTCATCATTTTGGGGTTTGTGGGGAGTATGTCTTGGAATGTTTTGGAGTTTGGAGGATAGATCTGAGGTTGCTACCTCAGATCTGGAATATTGAAGGCCTAGAGTGCATTAAAGTTCCTGTGTTTGAGTGCTTAGTGAAGCCACCATGTCCCAAACCTTGGTTTTAAGGTGAATATGGCTTAGATCTCGTTAGATTCACGTAAAGTTTGCCACTTTACGTGATGGATGGATTGTAGGAGGTTGGATCTATGTTTTGGATCAATTGCATGGCCTGAGATGCTTCTGTATGGATTCAGACCGGTGGTACTCGACGAGTCACATGGGTGGACTCGACGAGTTGCTTGAAGATGGCCTGGGACTCGACGAGTTGGAAGAACAACTCGGCGAGTAGGTTGAAGATGGCCTTGGACTCGACGAGTCCATTTGGACTCGGCGAGTCTTGTCGAGGAAGTCCCAATAT